ACGTAGACCCAACAGGACTTTTTTCCTTATGACATTAGACCACTATGGCACACAAGTAGACAGTGAATGGTAAAGGGAAACAGAACCAGCATGCTCCCAGGGTTGGGGGGTGGCCTGTCAGGGTTGGTCAGAGGGAGGGCTACCTGTCCTTAACTCCTCCAAAGCTGGGGTTGGGCACCTCAGTGCTATGGGGTGGGATAATGAAGAACTCTCCATAGTGAGAAGATGCTTGGCTTTTTAAAGTCTACTTATATTTTCCTTCCAGGCCTTCTGGTTGCCCACCATTGATGACTGACTCTAATGCTGTTTGGCTAATTCTAAATAGTGAGGGTGCCCAGCAGGAAAAACTCAGAGGGGACTGAGATAACAGATTGAATCTTTTGACTGGGCTGGAGAACATCCTTTCACATGGCCTTCCCCTGGATGTGCTGTACATCTACTCAAAAGGAAATTACTTTGCTGAGCTTCTTCAGAAGGACTGTGGTGCCACAGATTCATTTGGGATTTGGCCTTTGCAACTGTCACTGCACCAAGCTCCCCCAGAGGAGTGACCAGACTTGTAATTAGGTTATTGTGAAACACTCAAGGCACCTTCAATTTTGAATGTATTTGCTGCGAGGAGCCAGTGAAGTTGTCAGTTCTGCACATCCTTTCTCCCACCCCTATAAATGCATGGGAAGCCGAAGTTTGATTTTGAGATGCTAGGGAAACTCATTGCCCCTTGCCCACTTCCTGCATGTCTTGTTACTGGGTCTCCCTGTGTACTTGTGGCATTATTCCACAGTCATCATATTTCTTAGGTGCCAAACATTTACAGAAGTAAGTCTTCATATACCTTGGGGTCAGAGAGAGAGAGACAGATACTATAAAACCTTGCTTGTCAGGAACCCATGCATTTAGCCCTATGAGGATGAGTTCTCTGGGCAGGCCTCAGGCTCTGGTGTTGGGTAGGAAAAGGCCCAAGAGCCTAAAAAGGAGGGAAGGGAGTTAATAGGTGAGTTCCTAGAGTTGAAAGGTTTACCAGCAGCCGGTGTAGCCCCCCCTCCCATCAAGACAAACCCAGAGTCATCCTGGGTGCCTACCAAGCTTGGTTTGTACAAAAGGTAGGGTTCTATTTTTGTACTTGACATGCATCACTCTCCTGTGGGCCAGTATTGTGGAGTGAGTTTACACTGATGCCTTCCTTCCCTGCCCATCACAAATTGTGTACATAGTCTCCAAATGACACTCCTCATACCCCCTCCTTTCCCCAGCTCCCACCCAAGAGCTGGTTCTAGGCCTGTGTTATATGTTATAGCCTTTTTATATATGAGCTTTGATTTGTTTGTATTCTAGCACAGTGTGTGCACCTCCATTTAAATATATTTGTGTATACATATATGCATATACTTGTATATGCATATCTATCTTGTCTGTAGTTTCTCAAAGTTCTGCAGGAGATAGAGTTCTGCACCCCAGGAGAAAGACTGCATCCTTGCTAATAGTGTTTGCCACAAGTGTTAGTCTTCCCTATTACTTTTTTCCCTTTGGAAGACTAAAAGAAACAAAGCTTCTAGTGTTTGATGTTTCCATGGCAGCTAAGTGAGGGTCTTGGGATGACTTGTGTTCTTCAAGCCACACTTTGGAGCCCTTTCTACAGTATTACTCTTTCTTGCCTGGTGATGCTCTGCGCTTACGTATGTATGTGTGACAGTCATTTTTGCATGGCTTCTGTGCCTGGCTTGCAGCATTTGTGGACAGGATGCTGGAACTTAAGTATTTTCAGTTTGTCTGGGGCTACTTTGCCACTTACAGGTCACTCCCACTTTACCTGGCATGTCTTCTTTCTTGCTTTTTCTTGCTTCCTCTTGAGAAGGGGCTCTAACTAGGCCCAGGTTGAGATGAACTACAGATAGGCCATTGCCTTTTCTTCCCCTGCGTGGCCATCTTGGAGCAAAGGAAATAGCATCTTACTAAGCTCCCAACCAAACATTTATATAGGCAACACTCCCTGCAGATTCAGAAATCAGCCCAACAAGGTTCTGACTTTCCCAGAGGTTTACAGCTGCTGGGGGTAAATCAAGCTATCACTGCTTCTGTTCAGCAGGCAAAAGGTATGAATCATTAGCACTATTTGTTTAAAGCAATTACTTTCTGGCTTGTTACTTAAACTGAAAGAGCAAGGGTATACACCCTTCCCAAAAGTAGAAAAAATCTGCAACTGCCACCATGCCACCCCTCTGTAGTTCTCCATTCCCAGAGTATAGAGATTTTAGGAACTAAATGATCTGAGCTATTACTGCCCACCCCTGCTTTTCAAGGTAGAAAATTCATGTTAGGACTAACAGCCAGAAGGCTTGAAACTGGGTCAGCAAGAAAGACTGCATAACTTACATATCTGTAACTACAGAATAACTTGCCCAGCAACAGGAATAATATGTATTTGAGGTCCTGTGTCCAAAGCTGAGGCACCTTTGAAAATATGGCACCTCACAGCCTCTACTTGTGGGCCCTGTAGCAGTAGAGCTGGCTCCAGAATTGCTGTAAAAAGGGAAAAGATGCAGCTGGAAGTGACCTGAGGCAATGGGGTGATGAAGATAAGAGAGAAGGGCTGAGAGCCTAGCTGTAGGGATGTATCAATAGCAGCCAGAGGTGCTTAAGCTCTTAGTGGGGAGGGGCTGCTTATCACCTTCTGAAAACTCAAGGCCAAAGCCACTGCTTTATATGTGACAGTGATATTACAATGCTAAAACACCAGCCAGTGGGGTATTTTAAAAATATTCCCTGTTGCAATCATAATTATTGGTTATTAAAGAAAATTTCAGAATTTTAAACTATCAGTTTGCTACCCAAATGCTAATAGCACCGTTGATCTTTGGTGTTAAATGTTCCTATAGACATTTCTGTGCATAGATTTTTTTTGGTGTGTTTACATAGTTGTTACTCTACTGTACATACGATTTTATGTCCCTTTTGTACTTAACATAAACATTTTTTCCATGTTACCAGTCTTAAACAGAATTTTCTGGCTTCAGCTTTTTCCATTGAGTTTCTGTAGCATTGTTTGTTTGGTTTCCAGACGGGAGGGATGGGCTGCACTGTTCTGGCTCACATGGGGCCCCTGTAATGCTGTGTGAATGGATTGTTGGGCCCCCTTGCTAACTAGGGCCTATGGGCCCCAGACCCATCCCTCAACCTTAGGCTCCAATAAGCATCCATAGAGCCAGAAATGAGTGACTGGTAAAAGGCAAGCTTGAATCACTCTTGATCTTCAGAGACTTACCTGGCACAAATCTCAGTCTACCTTACATCCCTACTGTTTACCTGAACCCTTGATAAGTTTGGCAGCTTCACTGGAATGAGTCATCCTGTTAGGCTGTGGTTTCTGGAGAGCAAGGACTGCGGCAGCCTCTGAGTCTTCTGCACCAGGTCTGGCAGAAGGCCTAGCCAGTTGCTTGGTAACTGCCTGGCTGGTAAGCTGGTAATTCCTGGATCCTAGAGTAATTCTAGCTCAGCACCCTCAGAGCCGCAGGACTTGCCTCCTTCCTGGTTCTCAACTGGCTCTGAACCAAAGAAGATGAAAACCTTGGGCCCAGCCACATACAGTCACACATACCTACAATCCCAATACTTGGGAGGCTGAGGCAGGACAAGTTCAAGGGCAACTTGGGCTATATTGCAAGACCCCAATCTCAAAAAAATAGATATATATACAAAATTTTAAAAGAAAAAAAATGGGCCTGCTGCATTAGTCAAGTCTGCCACTTTGGAGGTTGCAGAGGGACTTTGACAGGTGGTAGAGACATCCTAGCTTAGGTGTGGTTGGCCATGCATGGGCTTTCCTGGCTCCAACTACTGTACCAAGAAGGAAGACTCCCTCAGCAAAGGCTGCTGCAGCCTTTAGCCTTTGTTCATAGAAGATGTGAGCAAGTAGATCAATATGGCAGCCCTTGGAGCAACCACTCCTGTTTGGCCTACGGTGGGAGACCTACAGCACCTACTTCCTGTGTTTTAGCCTTGTGCGGAGAGCAAGACCAGGAACAGGCAGAAAGCTGGGTTAGAAGAAAGGCCAGCAGGCAGTGGGGCAAGCTGGATGTGGGCAAGAGGCAAGGACAGGATGTTGTCCACACTTTGCTCAGGTAGGAGGGGGAGGGTTGTGCTGAGGAAGGAGGAAGTCATACTCCTACAGGCTTGTACACTTGCACTCCAGCATTTACTGGCTGCCTGACGGCAGGCAGGAGACCTATAAGAGGCTGCCAAAGCTTCATAGACCAGCTAGTTTGTCAGGGCCCAGCTGAGGACAGACAGGTTCAGGCCTGGAAGTCCTGGGCTCTGGAATACAGCTTTGTGAGAAGGGGAAATAATCTGATGTTGGAATTAGCCTTTCCTGTCTGCCCTGGATAATTAAATCTAAAATGAATTAATGGGCAGCAAAGGGAGTCTGAGAGCCTCTCAGTCAGATACAGGTTTTACATCAGCTCTCTTAGATCTTTCTGGTTACAATCTAGGGCTATGAGTTGCCGGATAAAAGTTACCTCTGTTATAAAACTAAGAGTAAATCAAGAAAGAGGTAAAGCTAGGTCCTGAAGATGGCTTGTCTTGTAATTCAACAAATACTTCTGAGCACCTGAGCTTCGTAAGTTTTAGATGATAACAGTCTTGTGGGAAAGATGAACTAAGCTACACATCAAACAGCAACCCCTAGGGCCCTAACTAACCTGCCTCCAGCCAAGTCTAGTAGCTTTACACAAATTGGCATTCAAAAGCAAGTGAAAAGGAAGGCATTCTAGTACTTCAAGCCCAGAACTCACAGCTGGTGGTAAAAGCCTCTTTTCAGTTCCCTGGCAACAGCCCCCACCCCCACCCCAAGCTGAAAACTAGGGAAGATATTATGTGGGAAAACCTGGGGTCCTAATTATATGCAAACTTGCAAGGTGGAGCTAAAACTAATCCACTAGAAGGTAACAAATAGCAGAAGGTGTCCATGATCCATACTATACAAGCAATTCACAATTCACGAGGGCTGTTCTGCATATAAACATTTAATAATAGGGAGGTGACAGGGCAACAAAGCAAAGGCATTATTGGGGCATGAGACTAGGGCAGGGCTGAAGCAATCAACTAGGAGGCCAGGTAGTAAGGAGTCCTGCCCACCTAGCCAACTCTGGGACATCTTGCCCCTTTTTGCTGTGCCCTAGCTTTAGCTCCAGAGCCTGTGCCCTACAGTGGTAAAGGACAGTGGGGCAGAGCCTGAGCTGATCTCAGGAGCTGTCTTCAATATGGTCATTTCACAAGGAACCCTGCATTGACTAGGGGTTGTTGAATGGACACCCTGACATTCATAGATTGGAGCCCTGGATCCAGATAGGCTGCCCATCCCTCATGGCATCTTTGGCCAATACCCTTAACCCAGGAGTCCCTATCTGAAAATACTTGGGGTTACTGAGGATCCTGTCTGAGGAGCCTTGTGAGATTCTTAAGTTGTAAAGTGCCTCTGCCAGAGAGATATTATGGTAAAAGGCAGGACCTGGTGGGCTGGGCTCTTAATAGCCTTTCAGCTCTGGCTGCCTAGTACAAATGTTCCCCTTGAAATAGGTGAGTGGGAGTGGAAGGCAAGAGCACTGAGCTGTGGCTGGGGATGAGGCAGCAGGGCCTGCTCTTGGCCACAGTGGAGAGTTAGATGCCCAGACTGTACCAGCCCTGGAGTGGTTCTGCATTGTAATGTGTGAATCCTCAGGGGCCACTGCCCCCTTGGCCCTGGCTATGCAAGGGAATCACGAACACAGAGACATCATCGTAGGACACCTGCCCTTGCCCCGTGGGACTGTCTTCCTTCCCCTGCGTGCTTCGTATCAGCATTTGGGCCAACTCCGAGAACCTGTGAAGATTATCCTGTAGATGTAGCTTGGGGCTGAGCAAATGGCAAAGTCAGCCCTCTAAGAGCATTCAGTGCATAGAACTGGACAAGGGAGACCCAACTGTAAGCCCAGCAAGCACCAAGCCTGGGAGGGCCACAACTGGACCACAGGAATCCAAACCAAAAGATCTTTGGGAGGGACCTACATCACACTCTTCCCCTCTCCCATGAGACAGCTCTCATCCTGGCTACCTGCCCTGAGTTTGGGGCTCATTGTTAGTGCTGTCTTCTCTACTCTAACTACTTGGTGTTCCTTCTGGCACCAACAAAGGCCTAGGCAAGTCCCCAGCAACTACAGTACCTGTGTGGGTCATCTCGGTTCCCAGGGAGGAAGCTCTGCACCAGCCGTGCCACCTGCTCATTGGACAGGACATCCCAGAGCCCATCTGTTGCCATGACAACCACATCATCCTCCTGCAGCTCCAGCTGATCCATATCTAGCACAGTCACCTGCAAGTTAACCCCAATGATCCTTCAGCACTCCCTGACTGACTCCCACCAGGCTCACTCCCTTTCTGGGCAGATGGAAGCTGGAGTAGACTACCTTGCCCCCTCACCTGTGGGACAGAGAGCAAGAATGGCTTGAGCTGGATGTTGGTGTCCAGGACTCTGAGCTGATGGTCTCCTAGGCCCCGGGAGACAGCCAGTGTTCCCAGTAACCGAGCCTGGGGCCAAGGAAAATGTGAGGTGATGGTGAACAGCTCCAGTAAATGCCCAAGTGCTAGGCTATGGCATTATTGAGCACACAAGGAAACATAGACCATGGCCCTCAGAAGCCCTGGGCTGAGGGAGAAACATGAGGGAGCAGGCCCCAAGACATCAGCTGTAGCCACCAGTAAGAGACAAAAGAGCTCCCACCTTCAGGGAACAACTAAAGAAGGGTTCTTGGAGGTGAGCCAGACACTGACCTGCCTACCCTGTCCGTGAATCAGTGGGTATTTGAGATCTGATTTCTCCACACGTTTGTAGCTCCTATCAGGAAAAGACCAAGCATCACCCAAGGTCTATACCCCACCTCCTCTCTGCCTATGCCCAGCTATCACACCCCCACAGTCCCCACTCTGCCCAGATGGAAGGGGACTGCCCCAGGCTTCTCCCTTCCCACCATGTACCCCTACCCTGCTCACCAGCCATTCATGTGGTGATCCCTGAACAAAACCTTCTGACCCAAGTCATCCCCTTTCAGTCGCCGAGGGAATTCCAGTCGGGTGAACTCACCAGCCAGAAGCTCTGGGTAGACAAAGGCCTGGGGTGGGGAGGCTGTGCTTAGGTCAGATTCCCTTCTACGCTCCTTGTGGCCCTTGGACCCAGGAATTGGGGCTCCACAGTCTCCCCCTGCCAAGGGTACCTACCAGCTCCTGGATCCGCTGCCGCTCAGTCTCTGGGGTGAACTCAGAGCTCAGTGGCCTTATCTCATCTCTCCGTACCAAAAGAGCCCTGGTTGGGGTTGAGTGGAAGAAGGGTTGAGACTACCTCCTCTTTCCCGCCAGCCCTCCAGCCATCGGAAGCCAACTCTGGCCATACTGATTCCTTGCTCAAAGCCCTCTGAATTCTTAGGACCTGCAGGGTGAAGGCTCAGGCCTTTGGCTTGGCACTTGAGGTCCCTGCCCTCTCTGGTATCTATTCTCTATCCTCATATTCAACATATGCCAAATACAAATACTACACAAACAGCTCAGCCAATCTTCCCCACCTTTCACTGTCCCCACTGCTTCTGGCATTCTCCTGCCCACCCCCAAAGGTTCACTCACCTGCTGTCTCCAGCATTGGCCACATACAGCTTTCCCTGCAAGGATACAGCCACCAGGGCTGTGCAGCCACCCACCTGGCATGAGGCCTCCAGCTCCCGCCCAATCACCTCATCCTGGAACAAACCAAGGCAGTTTAGTCTTAGCTGCTGCCAGTCCTGCCACCATACATACCACGGTCCCTGACTTCCACCCTACAGTTCACTTCAAGCAACAGGCCTGTAATCCAGCCCAAAGTCCAGTCATAACTCCCAAACCTCTGTGTCAGGAGGCCTAGACAAGGGAAGTGCTACTCCAAACAGGAAAGGAAATCAGTTCCTGCACTAAAAATCAAGTGTGTGCAGTAAGAGATGCAGATTAAGAGCACTTAGAACATAACAGGCACTGGGTATGTGGGTGGGGTTAGCAATGATGGCAACAGCAAACAAACCCAAGCTATCTTCTCAGTCCAATAATCTGGGGTGACTATAGTTGTAGGAAACCCCCATTCCTTCAGGTCCCTGGGGCCAAATCCTTCCCTTCTTCCCACAAAGACTCACGCATTCCTGGAAGGCCCTTTCCAGGGCCCCAATCACCAAGTCTTTTGTCTTGATGCCCTTTTCCTCCACAAACTGAGGATCACTGAGGCAGACACAGTGACCACTGAGGTGCATAGGGGGCTGAGTGGCCACTATGCCTTCTACCACGGCCTCCAGCTGCCGGCGCAGGCAGGAGTGCAAGGTGTTGGCAGCCAGGATGGCCGCTGCAGGACCGCCATGCCCATCAAACAGTGCCCAGTAATGACCTGTAAGGAACTACACCAGAAGGGCTCTGTGTCAGGCTCTGCCCGGCTTCCCGAGGCCCAGCCTGAACTAGGACAAAAAACCCTCAGCCTCCATGTCATGGATTCGGCCTGTCAGAAGGTTGGGGCTGGGCTCCTCTCACCTCCTCTGTGCACAGGGTCAGCCACTCTTGGTCCTCTTCAGCCCCAAACTCATATCTCCGGATGCACAGCTTCCCACAGGCAGCTTGATCCTCATTGAATTCAGATTTTTCTGCATTGATGATCCTGAGGCCAAGAAATGGTCAGTGACCATTCAGGGACACACCTATGTCCCTGCAGGCAAAAGACCCCAGCTGGGCAACGGCTCCCAGGTGCTATCCCTGACACCTGGGGCAACTACCATGTAGGTTTCCAAAGTTCAGTGGCTTAGTGCTAACCCAGGGCTGAGGGACAGGGTGGGCTCCCTGGGGAAATCTGGGGCGCCCTTCACTTCCATGTGAATCCCTGTTCCATAGAGCATGGGCCATAGCCCAGGGTGTGTATCTCCAAAGTCCAGAGCACTGGACTTCACCTAGTCTCCTGGCCTCATCTTGGAAGCCCTAGGAGTGTAGATCCTTCTCGACCTCCAACCTCCTCAAAAGTTGGTGACTCAAAAGTTCGGGTGAGATGGGGGAGGCTGTCGAGGGTCGTGTCTTCAGGTGGACGAGAAGGGGTATCTACAGGTGGGGTGGGGGTGTCACTCAGCTTACAGCTTAGCGTATGTTCTAGGCCACCACAGAGCCCTAGCTGGCTCAGTGGGGTCCGGAGGCCGGGGACTAGGGACCAGGGACTAGGACGTCCCTGGAGGAGCACTCACTCGGCGTAGCCTGCGTTCCAGGGAAGCGTGCGGCCCCGCGCGGGGCTGCGCACGGGCCGGGCGTCCGGGCGGCGCGCGGCGTCGGCGGCTGGGCTGGAACCCGAGCCGCGTAGAAAGCGGGGCCGCCGGTAGGGCACGGGACTGGCGCGCGGCGTGGCCGGGCGCGGAGCCGGGAGCGGACCCCCGGGCAGGAAGCGGCGCCGCAACCAGCCGGCTGACATGGTGCGGCGGCAGGGCCCGGGGAGGAGGAAGCCGGCCGGGGGCGGGGCTGAGGTTGGACTGGGCTGGGCTAGGCTGGGCTGGGCGGGGGCGGGGGCGGGGGCGGGGCGGTGACACCCCATCCCCAACCTCCAGCCCCGGGTCTTTGGGCGGCCTGTGCTGTAGGGTTCCCTAACAATAGCAGGAAGAGACTGCTCTTATCAACCCACTTGAAACGCAAGAAAACTGAGGCCCAGACAGGTGAAGTCGCTGGCCAGTGTCGCAAAGCAACACTGAGCAGGATTATGTTCACCCGCGCCAGTAGGACACTAACCTCGGAGGGGCAGGAAGTCTCCGTCCCCGACGTCCCTGTATGCGGGATGGTGTGTGTGTGCTGGCAGAGCCTCCTCCTGCTGCTGGGCCGGGCCTTACCCAAGGGGAAGATGGGGACAGGGTGACCTGGGAGGTGTCCGACTGGCACGCTCAGGCTGTCAGAGCCCATGTGCCCTCTCCTCACCCACCCAACCTCCCTGGATGGGGCTTAATGGTCATCCTAACCTCCTCATCCTGAGACAGGCTGCGACCCCAGGGGCACTTATCTCCCAAACGGCTTTCCCACCAACAAAGATGTCTTCCCTGGACAGACAGCAGAATATTAACTACAGTGAGTGTGACTGATGGACAAGAAGAACCTGTGAAGACTTAAAGGAGAGTCAATAGTCCCCCAAAGACTGCAGCTGGTCAGAGTTTAAACCTGGGACTGAGGAGTCAAAGACTTCCATCTGGGCTAAGGGCAAGATGTTACATTCTCTTAACCCCTGGCTAGGTGTCACCATGGGGCCAGCAGCAGTGGCCCCCATCACATCTGCGTGTTAACAGAGCACATGGACCGGGGATTTAGCTCAGTGGTTCCACTGCCTGCCTGGCAAGCACAAGGTCCGGAGTTCAATCCCCGGTACCAAAAAAAAAAAAAAAAAAGAGCACATGGTCACTCATCTGTCAATTAAAACCAACTGGTGGGTAAGGCTGCTGTTTCACTCTCAGACCTAGGACTCTGAGGCCCACAGAGGGGAAGTCTCCAATGCCCAGGGTATGCTGTTCTCTCTTCCCGTTATGACAGTGCAGCTGACTAAAACCTCCCCACAACCACCACCAGATTTCTCTTCCCCTTCCTTCTCCAGGAAGCCTACTGGAAGTTCCTAAGGCCCAAAAGCCTGGGACAGCCTGTGCCCCTAGGGTGGATAGAGGAAGAATCCCTCCCTTCATCTGCACTGCTAAGCCTAGGCCCATGTTCAACAGGCCCCACTTCCTCCAAGCATCCAGCCCTGCCCCACTGGAGGTTCCTCTCCCCCAAGGAGGAAGGTTCTTTGGGTAGAAGGTATGCCCAGTGGCCCTCCGTCAATGATTCAGTTCCAGACTGCCCTGGGGTCTAACTTACTGGATCTATTGTGTATGCCAGGCCCACACTGGGCACAGCACAGTGCTTGGAGAAGAGCCAGGCACCTGCCCACTGAGCCCCCTGTGGCATGGCAAAAGTCTCAGTAGATAGTCCTTGATCCACATCCAGGTGGTGGGACAGTCAGAAAGTCTCCCAAAGGACACCTGAGCTGAGATCAGTCACTGGGACAGAAAGGGACCAGGGGCCCAAAGTGAGGCAGGCCCAGTTCAGTATGTGAGGTAACCACATCACCACCAGTTCATGGCTCAGAGGCTTTTTTAAAAATCTAAAACTGGAAAAAACAAATCAAATGCTATTTTCCCAACCCACTGTCTTGGACTCACCTAGACACAGTTTAAGTCCTAAGACACTTTCACAGGAGCCGTAGGCTAAAATCCAACATCCTCTTTCCTCTTTTATCCACCCCCTCAATACTGGCAATTACTGAACCCAGGGCTTTTGCACTGAACTAGGTCCCCAGCCCTCCTGGGGTTTATTTGCTTATTTGTTCTTTTTACTTTTTAATTCACTAAATTGCCCAAACTGGACTTGAACTTGCAATCTTCCTGCCTCAGCTTCCCAGAGTGCTAGGATTACAAGTATGCGTCACCACATTCAGTTGCCTTCTCAGTCTTTAGATTGACCTGTGTTTATCATTTCTCTTTCCAGAAACTTCTAAGTGCTTCTCTCTCTGGTACTTGAAATTGCAGTTGAGATTCTCTGGGGGTGGATTTTTCTTTATTCCTATTTAGAGACAGGGTCTCACTATATAGTTCAGGCTAGACTTGAACTCACTAGGTAGCCCAAGCTGGCCTTGAACTCATGGCATTCCTCCTGCCTCAGCCTCCCAAGTGCTAGGATTACAGGCATAAGCCATCAGGCCCAGCCTTTATTCTTAAACTGTACCCTCTCAGGAGCCATACAACCCCTCACTCCCCAGTGACACCCTTCTCCCCCCAGCAATACCCTTCTCCCAAATGCTCCAGTGAACCAAGCCTGCTCCCTTCTGGCCAGAAGCTTCTCACCAGTGAACTCCACCAGTGTGGGGGTGGGGGGCCACTGCTGAAGGCCAGGGACAAGCAGGCCAAGAAAAAGAAAAAAGGTTTTATTTTATAGTTTTAAATTTACAATGAAAATGGCTTTGATACATATCTGTTCTACATATCTGTTCTCTAACAAAGGTGTTTTGTTTTTAGACAGGATCTAGCTATATAGTCCAGGCTGGCCTCAAACTCACAGCCATCCTCTACCTCAGCCTCCTGAGTGCTGAGTGCTGAATTACAGGTGTACGCCACCATGCCTGGCTTGGGTTTAACTTAATATTTTCATATGACTCAAAATTCAAAAGGTATAAAAGTATAATTTAGCAGTAAGTCTCCCCTGCCACCCATTGCCTAGCTAGCCAGTTCCTCTTACTAGGGACACCCAGTATTACCAACTTCTTAGGGCTCCTTCCAGAGATGTCAAGGGTATTCTGTGCAAATTCAAGCTAAAAAAAATCATACATACATGCTTGTGTGTAAAATCTCTTCTTGCACATTACACACATAATAATCTAGGCTATATCTTGCAGCTATATATTTCATATAAGATCCCTCTGAGTGATTTTTTTTTTTTGGTACCGGGGATCAAACTCAGGACCTTGTGCTTGTCAGGTAGGTGCAGTGCCACTGCAGCAGCCCTCTGAGTGTCTGTATGAATCCATGATAAGCTGCCTTGCTCTTTGTTAGTCTCTCTGCAAATGCATGGACTTTATATAATTAGGCCCCAGGGATGGACATTTAGATTGTTTTCAATGTTTTGGTTTCTAGTTTTTTGTGTGTGCACATATTGGTAGGATCCATTCCTAGTAAGGAATTGTTGAGTCAAAAGCATCCAGTGTTCACAACAGCACTATCACAAGAGCCAGAAGGTAGAAATTAACCATGTCCATCAATAGATGAACACACACATTGTGGTACAGACTGTGCATTCAATGGAGTACCATTCTACCATATAAAGGAATGCAGTACCAATATATGCAAACCCATGGGTGAATCTCAGAAATAGTATGCTAAGAGAAAGCAGCCTGACGCAAAAGGGCACATTTTGTATGCAATATCCTGAATAAGTAAATCCACAGAAACAAGAAGTAGAATGGTGGCTGCCAGGGCATAACTGTGCAACAACCACCTGGACAGTGTTCATCCCTGGACTCATGTGAAGAGCTGTACACAAGCAGCCTTCTCATCTTTCTGCCTGAAACCGGATCACAGGGAGGTGGAGTCTATTTTGATACCCTCTGGCCCTCAGGCTCCTTGCCCATGTCCCAGGATCTGCAGCTGACAGGGCTCAACCCCCAGTATCCAAGGAGATCTCCCTTCTCTGGTTAAAACCTCTTCCTGAGCAGTGAGAGACAGATGGAGGAGACAAGGGTCACTGCTCAACAAAACTTCCCTCCTTTGCTACAATTTCTTGAGTAAAGAAAATTGAGGTTGCTGGGCACACCAAATTGCTGCACCTCTCCAAACCCCGGAGACTTCAGGTGTACGATTGGAAACAGTAACCCTCAGGGTTTGTCGTCATAACATAAATGTAACCTTCATGTAAAAAGACTGTGACACAAGCAGGGCGGGGTGGTGCATGCCTGTAGTCCCAGCACTCAGGAGGCTGAGGCAGGAGGATCGCTTGGAGTTTGAGTCCAGCGTGAGGTACACAGTCCGTCTCTAAAAAACAAAACAAAAAACTTGTGTGACATAAAGACTAGTACCAGGTATCAGGCAGGCCACACACTCCATCATCATGTCTCAGCAACCTCAACCTCAAAAGGCAATTTCCTTTCCAATCTTCCCATCCAAAGTCCCTGGACAGGGACTGATTGGAAGGCTGGGGTCCACAGAGGCCTGAAGACACAATATGCTGACTGGCTGGTAGCAGCAAGCGAGTGCTAATGCCGGGAAGATAAGGCTGCCAGGTCGGGAGACAAACCTATTAAGAGCAGGTAAGTTCCTCAGACTCACAAAGTTCTGGCCTTCCTTCAACCTCTGGGCCTTTGCACATGCCATTCCCTCTTTGCAGAACTTTCTCAGCTCTGCTTTGCAGAACTTTCCCCTCTGCTCTGCTGGTCACCCCATTCTGTACCGCGAAAATTTCACTTCCTAACAGCCGCTCACATTCTCTGGGTAGAGAAGCACTGTTCATCCGCTGGCTGCCAGACCAAGCACTGTGAGTTCCCACCCCATGTGCCGAGAGCCCAGCCAAAGGAGCTCCGGAAACGCCCCTCAAGGCAGAGCCACCGCCCAAGCACGCGCTCACCAGCATATAAAGGCCCTTCCTGTTCCTGAGTTAAGAGCAGATCCGCCGCTGCGCGCAAGCCTAGTAGGCCGTGGGTGCAGTCCGTGGGTGCAGTCTCGCACCCGCCACACCCGCAAACCACGAGGATCAGGGTGTTTCGACGCCCACGCACTGCGCCCACGCCCCGCTAGCGCACGCAGGCCTCTTCCCAATACCCGGAGCGCGCAGGGTGAAGCGCCAACCACTCACCATCTCCCCCCCCC